TGTATGTATCTTCATAGACTAAAATATTTTTTTGCGCTGGAACACATTGTGAGGATTTTTTATGAGTAGTACTGTTTATTATTGCGGGTAATTTATACCAGCGGTGAAGCCTTGACAGTATTAAGTCTGATATTTTATTCTGATTTAGCATCAATTTCTGTTTATGAATTTTTTTGAGTTATGAATTTTAGTTTTGAAGTTCTGCATGTTGCACTTAACTTTTTTGCTTTGTGTCTAGGCTTTTTTTTACAGGACTGTCTTATGCATGTAAATTTTTTAGCTTGGTTTTTCAAAAACAGCTTACTGTGAAAATTTTTTTCTATTTTGGCGACTAAATCTATGTCTGAGAGATACACGTTCTAATATTTTTAAGGCAGGGAGTGGTAGAATAAGGTTCTGAATCTGTTTGGTAAGTATTTGTCTCAAAACAAAGTAGTTCTGAACTGTCGATCATGAGCTTTTTGCAAAATTTCTCAACTTTAAAAAAATTTTTTTCAAAGCTATGGTTTCTTTCCAGAGGTTTTTCAGGCTTGTCTGTTGGAGCAGTAATGTTGAAAAATTGAAGAAACTAGAGGGGGAAAAACAGTTTGTTTGATGATGAAGCTGCAAACTGCTTCTTTTGTTCTTTATCTTTTCTAAATATGAAAAAAAATATTTGCTTCGAATATGTGCTTGAGCCTAAGAAGCCGTACTTAACAGTTCTTCAGTATAGCTAGGTTGTGGAAGAGGTTTAGCTGATTTGCTAACTTGTATTTTTTCGTCCTGTTTCGTTTTATGCTTGTTTTTCTGAACTTTTTTCCTCTTTTCTATAGGTTTATCTTCAGTTTTTTTAAAGTTTTATTCTTTTTCTCTCAGACTTTGTTTTTCAAAGTCTTGCAGTTCAGAAAGCTTGGGGTGAGAAAGTGGATATTTCTCATCTTTAACATTTATTACTGTATTTGCTTAAGGAAGCCCCGAACGGCTAACGAGTTCTGTTGGTGAGGTGCCGTCAGAAAGGGTGCTAACTCCTGCAAGTGTTTCGAATGTAGATTTACTTGTAAGACGAGGGATTGAGCAAGAGGGGAAACAACAGTTGGAAAATGTTGCTACTCCTGTGTCGCTCTCCATACTTGAGTTGCCCACAACATCTCATACTACGACAGAAAGTCCTGCTGTTGGAATTGAAAATGCTATGCAGTATGTATCAAAAATCAAGGTATATTAGTTTTTTTCGTTTGGATTTCAGTTAAGTGCCGTATTTTTGAGTTCTACTGCCTCTGTCAATTTTTTTTCAAATCAACTTGAATCGCTAGGTAGGTTGGGTACCAGTTGGAACAGAAATGCGTAATAGTGCTTCTTCCTTACTCTGCCAGATTGGTCACAGAAATACGTATATATATATATATATATATATATATATATATATATATAGGTGCTGTGCTTAAGAGTGCGTATTTTTGTTTGTGGTCGTCCCCAAAATCCTTACAACTTTTTGGTTTATCAAACAGCTTTTGAGTTTTCTTTTTCAAATAAAAAATTGTGTGGGGCAGTAATGGCAGTCAACAGAAACCTGGCAGAATCAGTCTCATACTTTTTTGCTTTTTTCCGCAGTATTTATTACTTTAGCCAATAACTTACATCAAAGTTTCGCATTCAGGTTTACCCTTCCGCATTTTAGTTAGCCAGGCTAAGGATTTGAGATAAATGACTCGTATTGATCGTGATTCATTTAGGCTCGTTTTCAAGACCGGCCAGAAATTTACCAAAAGTTTTTGCGCATTTTACAAGATTACCAGAACCACCAGAAACAAAGGAATCAACGCCAAAAGGTTCCTTTAATAGAATGTTAATGCTTCACCACCTTGGAACATTTAAATACTTTTTCAAACCTTTTTTTTTTCCAGAATAGTAATGAAGCTGCGAAAAAAGTTAGACTTGAGGTACAGCAAGTATAACTGCAACCAATAAAAGCCTTTTTACTTGTTTTCGGTTTATATGAGTGGATTTAAAAGTGATGAAAATTTTTTTGATCATATATTTTATAGAAAATCTTTTTTTTTTTT